GACATCGACGATGTTATTGACATCCCCGACGACGTTAACATCCTCGACGACTTTGAAATATTTTGCCACAAAATGAAAAGTATCTGCTTGCAGTATATCGAAATTATTTGTCTCTTCCCTCCCCCTGTCTTTCCCTTCCTTTCCGTTTATAAATTTTATAACAAAAAGAAAACTTGGTCATGAAAACTAACTAACTTTTTGTCCTGCAAAAATTATCCAAGGATTTTATATAAAAAGATTTACGATTTTGCAATACTTCATCGAGATATGGATAATGATTGCAAATCACCAGGAGAAGATGGTGGAGGATTCGATAGTGATATTTCCTTCGACTCCTGTTACAACACATTTTGTTTGCCATGTCAATCAACTACTGTTTAAATTAATGAATTAAAGTGAGGATTAGATAACTAGTTTTTTGAATTATGAATTAGTAATGAATAAACGAAATAATGTGTTATGTTAAATATAATAGCAACATTTATTAAAATTTTTGTGAGTATACGATTAATGATTAATATCATGATTCGTGTTTTTCTTTTTATTTGAAAATTTGAAAATTTACAATTGTCAAGAATGGTTGGAAAGCGATCGATAATTACCTACTTTAGTAGATATCTTTTTACAAGATTGTTTTTTTATATCTTTTCTGTTTTATTATGAATGTTTTCGTAAGTATTTGGATAAAAACATTTTTTGATGATTCTTTTTTTTCTCGTTCATATGATTCGAAAATGTTTTGTAATTTTCGTTTTCATAACTTTTAATTTGTTTATTATATTTTTCTAAATAAGACTGTAGTTAAAAACTAATGAATTTGGATAATAAAATGTCGACGATTTTATTCCATGCTTTGTTTTACCTCAGACTACAAAAGAAACAATATTCATTAAATATGACGAGACAAAAAAAGAATAATGCAACCAAAATACAAAAAAAAAAAAGAATAATGCAACCAAAAAAAAAGAAAGGTAAAATGCTTTTACTCAAAGCTGCTCATAACAGTGCGCTATGTGAAAAAAGAAATCAACTACATCAGAGCAAAACTTCAAGTCTCAACATGAGCCAAACAAATGAAGAAATCAGCAAATCGGAAGATTATTCGACTAGCTACAATCCGACAATGGTCGCTCAAACTAATTCGATAACGAAAAAACAAAATAAAGAAACTCTGTTATTATGTAAGGAAATAACTGTATTTAACCCATTATTGCCAGAACGAAAGAAAGAAGCCTTGGCATTATTTGATATTGGGTCACAGTTATCGTTCATATCAAAGGAACTAGTTCAACGACTAGACTTAATAGAAACTGATGAACAAGAATTAAGATTAGCTCCTTTCGGCATTAAAAATCCTAAGCCACGCATAATCACTCAAACTCAACTTAATGTAAAAATAGATGCAGATGAGACTATCCAATTACGCGCCAGTGTAATCGAATATTTAACTAATGAATTACATGTTGTCAAAATACCAATAGCCAACCACACAATGAGACTAAAATTATTGGAAACGACCTGACATCTTAATCGGAGCAGATCATTTCTTCAAATTTGTGGAATTGGAAAGAATCGAAAA